CCTGCTGCATGGCTGCTTTTCTAGCCATTCAGGTATCTAACATTTTTATTATATTCATTAAAGGACATTTTTTTTAAATAAAATCCATCAAATGATTGTTCTATTAATTGTAGCATTAAGGGGAAAAAATGATCAGTGCCACTTGTTGCCTTTATTACCATTTTACTAAGCCCCTTCTGCTATTTATTATTGGAATGGAAGGCTGGAATAACTCTGTTAGTTCTTTGAAATTCTCTTTTTCACACCAAGGGTTTGGATAAATTTTTTCAGAAATACTTCTAGAAAAAAATGAAAAAAAATATATTCATAAGTTAATTTGTAGAATTTTTCTCATATTAACTTCTCCAAAAGCTTATGGAGAAACTTATTTAAATTTTTCTTCTTACTTTTGTTATCCTAGAAGTGATTCTCAATAAGTTTATCCAGTCAGGCTCCAATTATTATGACGTCTAGCAAGCTCTTTAACGGTTTCTCACTGAGTGTTCTTAGGTGTTTCTCTGAATTAGGGGGGAATGCAGTGAGGGAAAATCAATTGCAATATATTGTTTTATGTGTATCCTAAAAGCTGAAACCTTCGGAAAACACTCTTTATAAACTCTTACTTTTGCTCCCATTCCCCTCCATTTGGAACACATACTCTGATATTGGACTGTGTTGCATGGATATCAGTACAGTATCAGGTACAGGTGTGGGATATGCGGTTTTTGAAAAATATAAGGTACGGGTACGTTAATGTAATTTAAAAATATGTTTTTATTTATATAAACCTAAGTAAATTGTATAAATAAATAAAAAAGTACAAATAAACAACACTTTCATTTGAACTATAATATCAAGAATAAAAATTATAAAACCTAAAGCATGATTATACTATCAAACTTGAACAATGATATACACTTTAATTGTGATATATCATATTTTAACAGTTTCAATCTTATCATAATTTACATATCTAACTTTGGTTCATCAAGAGAAAGAGTAATAATTTTAAGAATGTCAACTCCTTCAATTATATCCTATTCATCTCCACTAACATCCCACGTTTTAATCTCGCTCTCTGTATAACTCTCACTCTTTCTTGTGAGGAGAAGGAAATTTGTATGTATAGAAACTAAACCCTCAACTCTCTTAGACATGATACGTGCCTAAAAAGTACTTATGTGTAGCCAAATTAAGTATCTATTTTTTTTATAAATGTTCTGGATGTGTACTCACAAATACCCGATACGACATGAATTTTTGGAGTACCCATACTTCAGACATGTTAGACAACTTCAAAAAGGTTTGACATTTTTCTTGTTGTTAAACCAATCATTTTGTACTTGATATATCAAATGAAATGACTTTTTTCCATCACCAATATTAACATTAGGCCATTCCAAATCTCTCCATTGATTAGTTCAGTTGTGCTCACTCCTCAAATTCTATGAACTGATTTAATGTGATCTTCGGTTCTTTTATTTGTGATATTGTTGGCATTAATAATTTATTGTCATTATTTTCAGGCGCCGGTGTTAAAAAAGTATCCTGCAAAGATGAGTTGTATGGCTCTGTGATTTTTTCCAAAATCGATTTGAGATCCGGTTACAATCAGGTGAGGATGGATCCTATTGATATCCATAAAACTGCTTTTAAAACACATAGTGGCCATTTTGAGTATTTGGTAATGCCTTTTGGCCTCACCAATGCTCCTGCCACTTTTCAGGGATTGATGAATGAGGTCTTTAAAGACTATTTGAGGAAGTTTTTGCTAGTTTTTTTTTATGATATGCTCATTTACAGCAGTAGTTTAGAAAGCCATATTGGCCACTTGCAGCAAGTTTTGACAACCATGAGAGAACACTCATTGTTTGCCAAGAGGTCTAAATGCTATTTTGGAGTTACAAGGGTAGAATACTTGGGACATTATATATCTCGAGAGGGGGTAGCCACTGACCCAAGCAAAATTGTAGCAATCCAAAATTGGCCACTGCCTCAATCCATTAAACAACTGAGAGGTTTTTTGGGTTTATCAGGCTATTACAGAAGGTTTGTTAAGGGATATGGAAGTACAGCTAAACCATTAACCAATATGTTAAAGAAAGAAGGGTTTTGTTGGTCTTCAGAAGCAAAGGAGGCATTTCAATCCTTAAAAACAAAACTGGTACAAGCACCAGTTTTAGCATTGCCAGATTTTACCAAAACCTTTGTGGTGGAGGTAGATGCTTCTGATCAGGATATTTGGCAACCAGCTCTTGTTTCTTATTGGTTTAAGTTATACTAATCCGACTTATGCTGCTGCTGTACAGCCAGCCATTCCAGTGTTTACATTTCTGTTTACTGTAATTATGGGGTCAGTTTTGCTCTTATCCATTCTATTTGAGTGTTTTATGATATGTATACAGTTTATTCATTTATCATTGATTTATCTTAATGCACAATCATAATTGTAGTACAGAAATGTGTATATTCATGAAATTATTCATACACACCAGGACAATGAAGTTGCTTAATGAACTTATTCATGCAGGATAGAAAGAGTGAACTTGCTCAGATATGAAGGTCTGGCAAAGGTTGGAGGAACTATTGTCTGTGTTTCTGGTGCCATATTGATGGTTTTTTATCGTGGTCCAGCTTTGATAGGAGATGAAGAAATGCAGAATGTTGCACAAATTAAAATAAGTGCTAGAGGTCAGCAAGAGGCTTCTGGATGGTTAATCAATAGTTTAAACAATCTTGGATTAGACAATTTTCAACTTGGGGTTATATTCTTGATAGGGAACACCTGCTGCATGGCTGCTTTTCTAGCCATTCAGGTATCTAACATTTTTATTATATTCATTAAAGGACATTTTTTTTAAATAAAATCCATCAAATGATTGTTCTATTAATTGTAGCATTAAGGGGAAAAAATGATCAGTGCCACTTGTTGCCTTTATTACCATTTTACTAAGCCCCTTCTGCTATACTTGTCTAATGATCTTTTATATTGTTATCTAAGTGCAAACTAAATATGTATGATAAGTTTATAAACTTTTATAATAACGACTCTAAAAATCAAATCAATAATATTTTTTTAATTAGTTGACAGTGTTAAAAATTTAATACTAATAGAGCATACCTATTAAACTAAAAAAAAAAATGCAATCCACTGCTTCATTTTTTGAAACAAGTTTACTAATTAGTACTTAAGAAAAGGATAAAACATCCATATAATACTATAAAGATACTGCTTGGTTAAAGCTTCATATCAATAATATATAAAATAAAATATTTTATTAAATATTTATAGATATTATCGAACTAAAACTGTAATTCTAATTAAACGTATAAATATTGTATCTAAGTTTTGTGATTAATAAAATCCCTTAAATAGTTGAAGTTAACGAAGTTTCACTTCTTTCTACTGCATTGCGTTCTGACATTATTGTTGTATTTAGAAGCTTCTTCTTATTCTTATTTTTTAATCCATGTGATGATAGCATCATAGGGGGATCTTTAATCATTGCTGGTCTGTACATAGTTACTTGGGCATCTTATAGAGAAAAACAGGCAACTTTGGGAGTTACTCCTCATGCCTCTTCTGTCTCTGAACCACTTATTCATGAAAAAAGTTCAGACTAGGGAGGTCACATTTCTTCGGATTCAGATTCTCTGACTTTGAAACATGAAAGTTACGGTGATTTAATGCGTTTAAACCGTTAGATTTATAAAAATAAATCAGATTGCGACACGTGTGCAATATATATTTTGACTTAAATGTACACGTGTCACAATCTGATCTATTATTACAAATCCAACGGTTTAAATGTATTAAGGTACCATAATTTTCCCTCCATAAAGTCAGATGATCCATTTCCCATTTCTTCGGGGTCCTCCAGCATATCCTGAAACTCAGTCATCAGATAAAGAAAATTAGCTATAGAATGCGAATGCCTTGTGAAAATATGTCTCATGTATTTGGCCATGCAAATGTAAATGTAATGCTGCGTCTGAATTTTGAAATATGATGTTTATAATTATATCTTCAAAATCATATCTGAATTATGAATTGCAAATTTTTTGTCCCTTGACTAGTTGGATACATCCTCTGAAATTTGACTATAGTTGGTGTCATAATTTTGTACCCAGAGAATACAAGTTCTTAGGAATTATAACTTTGCACTTGAGTTATTGGAGAATACGATATCGTTTGGGGTCAATATAAAATAAGGATAGATAAGAAAGTGAGATGAGTAAGAAAGAATACAAATATGTTAATTTTTATCGTATGGAGAATTTGATAGAAAATATATAATCTTGCATACAAAAATTAGTATGATACAAGTATGTTAGTCTTTGTATATAAGGACTGAATTTGTAAAATCTAATTACGGGGAAAGTTGCCTAAACGAGATTTTCATCATACTAATTTCTATCATAATATTTTATATCATTCTCATTAAATTCTAAATCTTACATTTATATTCAACACACTCAGCGTATCTATTTAAGAACCCAAAAAAAAAAGAGAGTATATATTTAAGGAAAAAAAAACTAGGATTTCATTCCAGTCAAATCCGTTTATTAATATTTTTCTAAAATTCCTTATTATAGCTTATAAACCCACATTTAAAAAATTGATTATACTTTCTTTTCGATGATGCAGTTTAACACTTTTACACATATATTAAAAATAATAATAAATATATCACTTTTTATATAATTTTACTAAAATAATTTTACTCCCTAAAAAAGATACAATACTGTTATTGGTTGCAAATATATTAAGATTGATGTGATTTATGATGGGGAATATCAATTATTTTGAAAGAAAAAAAATTCAAATGTTAAAACTGCTCTCATCTTGGAATAGAGGGAGTAGTATGTTGTTACTGATTATAAATTCCTAACTTAATATACATTACTTATTTATTTAAAAATAAACATTTTACTTTCATTATATTTATTAACTAATTTAGATTAGTATTTATTATTGTGTATTAAAATTTCTCCTTTGGTGCTAACTGCTAAGAATATTTCCAATAGAGCGTATGTTGGGTTCTTAATCAATTTTGTATGATCCTTTAATGTTATGTAGAATTTAAGAACTATATTTAATTATTTTTTTAATGTAAGAACGAGTTATTAATTCAATTTATGAGTTCTCTAATGGACTTCACCTTTTTTAGAGTTTTTTTTTAATTGTAAACACTTAGTTGTTGTGAGTTCTTATAGAAAAGTTAGTTTTACACACAACACTCCAATGATAAAAGATGTAAGAATTAATTTTTATTCTAAGAACTCATATAAGAAAGGATGATAATCACCTACAACTCAACCTAAAATATTTTATTATTTTATCTTTTAAAAATATAAGAAGACACGAAATGTTACATTAGTATGTTGTTGAGAAAAAATGATATTATATAAATTATTATATTAATTAATTGATTAAATTACACTTTTAATTTTCTTATAATATCTGTAATTTGTAATTCTGATCCTTCAATTTTTAATTTAAAACTTTAGTTTCTAATTTATAAAATCTGCAAATTTAATTTCCATATCAAATAAATATATCTGTTAAGTTAAAATTATATTATTAATCATGGCTTGAAAAGAAAAAATAGCATAATAATAAATATTTGATAATATTTACATTAAATTACCCTTTAATTTTCTTTTTCTAACTGTACTAAGTAAAAATGGAATGAGAAACATGTATCATCTCTTGGGGCAATTTACCAATTTTATGAAGTAAAACTAAAACGTGTGTCATCTCCTTTTGTCTGATCGATGGTACCAACGAATCAATGTGTTGTTGGCGAGTCTTTTATTAGTTTTTGTCGACCAAAATTTAAGACCATATCCTATCCTTCCTTCAAAATTCTAACACAATCAACAACTAAAAGTGTTCCCTTTTTCTTTCTTTCTTTTTTTTTTCTTGCATTGTATGTGGCTTTGTAACCAAGCATCGAGTTTGGTGTTTGTTGGCGTCACTCACTGTTTCAACCAACGAACGAACGAACGAACCACCCCATTTGGTTTGTCTGCTTTTTTGAGTTGAGGGTGTCTTGCGGATAGTGTGGATTGATCGGAATGGCAGCATCAGTGGGAGTGGGGGGTGAGATATGGAAGGCCCATTTGGCGATGGCGTTGGTTCAGCTATTCAATGGTGGCTACCATGTCATCACCAAAGTTGCCCTTAACGTTGGCGTCAACCAATTAGTCTTCTGTGTCTTTCGAGATCTCCTTGCCCTTTCAATCCTCGCACCCCTTGCTTATGTCCGTGAAAAGTATGCTCTTTTTCTTTTTTTCTCTCTCTCTCTCTAGATGTAACATACTTTCAAATCTACTGTTGGATTTTACTTGTAATGTTTTTCAATGTTCACCCTTTTCTTCTCTCGCTTCGATGCAATTAAGAAAGATGTGGTACACATTAAAAGGGGTGGGTATCTCGCTCACACATTGGCCTTTAGCTTTCACGAGGTTTTGATTGATTGGTTCCCCATTTTAAAAAGGTTGACTATTGCGGATGATTCGTTTTCATTTGGTTTTAGGAGACTTTAATATGTTGGAATTGGATGCTTAAACCCCTTTTTTTGTTGTTGCCTTTGTTGGTTGGTGATGTTTGTTCGCAACACTATGACCGCCCTTAACACGGTGTATATGAGTTGATTTATGACTGTTATGTTTTTTTTACCATTGGAGTTATTGTTTGGGTTGTAGGGTAATTCTAATTGTATGAAAATATACACTCATGTTTACTGATATCTGGACCTTTCTAATAGAGATTCCACATTGACTAATAATATGGTTAAAATATAGTATATAAGTTTGGCCCAGATCTCACATTTTAAGATGGTATCAAAACTTATCTTAATGATTGTTATTGGACTTATCAGATCTCTCGCCATCCCACTTCTTAAGACTTTCTGCATGATAATTTAGAGCAAGCTCAATATTTAAGTATTATCATATAGCTTATACTTTTGTTTACTGTGGTTTGAAGTAGTTATGTATGTTCTAGAATCTGGTTCTAAAAATGGTAATGTGTGTTGTGGCTAATGGTTCCAGTGTTCTGTTATTATCACATGAGAGAAAGACAGCTAAATTTGACTGCGGAAGCGAATAATTTCTGCTCTGTGCATTTAACCGAACTACACGTTCAACTTTAGGAGTAAAATTTTAAAATGCAACTTTTGTTCCCTCTTAATTCCTGTGATGTTATTCTTTTTCTTCTTCTCTAATGAATGGATATCTTAATCATACTGTTGGCTGTAGACGGATTCGACCACCCACTACAAAGAAAATCCTGATGTCATTCTTCTTTCTTGGATTAACTGGGTGAGACTCTTGATACTACTTACTTATTTCCTATTTCCACTATATTTGAAAGATACAGTGTTATATTGATGCATGCGGTAACTAAACTTCTTGATTCATGATCAGGATATTTGGCAACCAGCTCTTGTTTCTGATTGGTTTAAGCTATACTAATCCAACTTATGCTGCTGCCATACAGCCATCCATTCCGGTCTTTACCTTTTTGTTGGCTGTAATGATGGGGTCAGTTTCACTTGTATCATTTAACAGTTGAACTTGTATTTGTGTAACTATGTATCCTAGAACTCAGAAACACACATGTACGCATTCACTTGTAGTGCAGAAATGTGTACAATAATAAACTTTTTCAGATATGCCAGGACATACAGTAATGTGTGTATCTGTATAAACCTTTTCATGCAGTACAGAAAGAGTGAACTTACTCAGATACGATGGTCTGGCAAAAGTTGGAGGAACTATTATCTGTGTTTCTGGTGCCATATTCATGGTTTTATATCGTGGTCCAGCTTTGATAGGATATGCAGAACTTGATCACGCAATACAAAATGAAATAAGTGCCAGAGGTCAGCCAGAACCATCTGGATGGTTAATTGGTGGTTTACAGGATCTTGGCTTAGACCATTTTCATGTTGGAGTTTTATGCTTGATAGGGAACTGCATTTGCATGGCTGCTTTTCTAGCCATTCAGGTTAAGTTCCTTTTTATCATATGCATTAAGTGACTGGTCACATTTTGCCTCTGTTACCTATTTACTAAGCCCAACTTGTATGTGTTATTCACTTGGGAGGCCGGGATGACTCTTTTAAGGAGTTATCCCTTTTCGCTTAAATCCCAATGATAAAAATCTTCTGATACTCTGTCAGTTCTTGTCACTCCAACTTTGTGCCAAATGTTATAAATGGTGGATAGCAGAAGGCCAAAATTCTGCCATATAAACATGCCATTGTGGCCTATGGCGCTGCCATAGTGGGCCTCCCTTCACAAATTGCCTATGGTGGAGGGCCTGGAAAACACCACATTATAGTGTTGTGGTGACTCTATAAAGTTATGTAACAACATTGTTCTTGCCAAGTCTAATGATTTAGATCAAAGAGTGAAGACCTTACATGGTTGTAATTGGTTAATTGCTTCTGTTGTAAACACTGCTTGCATATTCTAATTTTTTCTATGAAGAGGTTCACTTCCCTAACTATCTGTTTCCAGTTAAGGGCCTATCAAGGTAAGGTCCCCTATTATTTTGGTCAAGCTTTTTCAGAATTATGAATAAGATAATTATTGCCCCTCCCCTTCCAAAAGAAAAACTGCATCCGAATACACTCATAATAAAAATACATACTTGTCACTCATTGTTGCAAGCATCGCTCTTCTTAACATCAGGTCATTCTTACTCGTTCCAAATATCTTCAATGATCAGATTAGTAGTGCTCATTCCTAACCTTCTCTTAACCAATTAATTTGCTGTTGTCTTGGGTTCTTTAATATTTGAAATTGTTGGCCGTTTTAATTTATTGCCATTAATTGATTTCAGGCACCAGTATTAAAAAAATATCCTGCAAACCTAACCGTCACTGCATGTTCATACTTCTTCGGAGCTTCTCTGATGGTGACATTGTCATTGTTCATGACGAATGAATCAACAGACTGGAGTTTGACGCATTCAGAAATACTTGCCGTTATTTATGCTGTGAGTCACTATAATTTTTAACCAGTCTCAGTCTCAAGAGCCCTTATTTAGTTATTGCTGATGATTTAGGTCTACTTACTACATTGAATTAATGAAGTTGTCTTCTAAACTTGGCCCCTTTTTATTGTTTGCATTCTTTCATTCAACACATCAGCTATAAATTATTAACTGTTGCCTGTTTGGTAAAGGAAAGTATTCTCACTTGTTGAAGTAGGAGTTAATGTTGTGATGCTCTTGTTAGTAATTAATCGAAGTTCTCCAAGTTTTGGGGCACTACTATTAGTATTACGGTAATTGGAAAATTTTGGAACAAAAGGTTGTTCATTGCATGTGATCAGAGGCAGTGTGTGAATCTCCCTCAAAAGTTTTTTAAATTTTTGTGGAGTATATAAACTATAAATATTTTTTAATTTCTCAAGTATGGGCGCCTTGAAATGCTAAAAAATTTCTTCTCTGGCTTGACACTGCATGTGGTTTTACTAGTTTATCTTAGTATTGGGTTTTAATTTTGGATTTAATTTTGATCCAATATTAGCATAAAATATTGTAACTTTGTATGAAAATTATTTGATGTCACCTGTTTAGAAGTTGTTAAAAAGGTTTAACAGGTCTTGAAAAACCTTTGTCTGGCATTGTAAAGAGTCTTACACTGTCAAAGTGTCAATGGATAATAATTACACTATTCACCATTCAGCTTGTTTTTAATTTCAATTCTAAATCTGTTTCTGTTGTAACTTATCTGCTACCTTCAGCAAACAGTTATGATTATTTTATGTTGCATTTCGTGATTGATGAGAATATATAGCTCCACAAGTATTTCCCCAAATTTTGTTTTTTCTTTTACTCTTATTATTTGTGAAAGACTTAAAGCAGTTCAAATATTTGTTCATATTTTATTAATTCATATTAAAGACCATTTATGTTGAAATATTATACAGTTGATATTGTCTCAGACGTGATGCATCATAAATATCCTGCCATTGTTCAAACATAATAATTATGCTACTTTATGCTATTTTGTATATCTAATCTAAATTTGAATTTTTGGTTCTGGAATTTTTGTTGACTTACCAACATGTAGGAATTAATCAAAGAAGAAAAGCAAAGAACAAATATGTTGGGACTAGCTCATGAGAACAAATGTTTTCACAAAACTGTTTTTACCTAGGGGCAGCAATAGTTGAGAATAAGATGAATTTTGCTGTTATGGTTCAGCTATTTCCTCTATCTGGTGAAGTAAGATTGTTTTAAGTGGATGGCAAAAATGACTTGCTTTTAGGTAATATGTTCTAAGGTGGTAGGTGAACTAAGGAATGAAAACTACAGGAGTAAAACAATGAGGGTATTTTTTCTTTAAATGTTGAAAAAACTGAAATATCCTATGCTTTTTTACAAATATTTTGATAGATTTATTCTTCTAATAGATTATTTGGTAGATTTTTTAACATGTACATTTTGACAAATATTTTCCTTGTTTGTCAGGGAACTGTTGCATCTGCCCTTAACTATGGACTCATTACATGGTGCAACAAGATCTTGGGGCCAGCTATGGTTGCCCTTTACAATCCGCTTCAACCTGCGTTCTCTGCTATCCTGTCCCAAATTTTCCTTGGAAGTCCAATTTACTTGGGAAGGTAAACCTCCTATTATTTCCACTTGTTTATGCATTCTATTCTAACTTGAAATGCCTACAAACCTACTCACCAACTGTAAAGGTTTAAGTTTTCTTAAAAGAGAAAAATATCTGCAATCCACCGCGTTTTGTTTGGGAACAATTTCACTAGATGGTTTTTAATAGTTTAATATCTATGTACTATGTAAAAAAATTCACACCACTAATAAATCAGAAATAATAGTTCAAACACCTTAGTTAACATACATGATAGTAGTTTGTAATTAGATATCAGTGTAAAATAGTTTAACGAAGTTTGTCCTCTCTTTAGCATGGTAGTTTGAAATTAATCTAGAAGTTTCTTATTGTTATTTATTTATTTTGACATCCATGTGAGGACAGCATCATAGGCGGATCTTTTATCATCGCCGGTCTATATATGGTTACTTGGGCATCTTATAGAGAAAGACAAGCAACTCTTGTTGTTGCTTCTCATGGCTCTTGGGTCGCTGAACCACTTGTGCATGAAAGAAGTCCACGCCAGAGAGGTAACATTTTTTCAGGGTCCTCTGGGGTATCCCCAAACCCAAAGTTATCAGATTAAGGAAATGAGTTGTTGAATGGAAACGCGTTGTAGAAATTGGTCTCATGATTCTTAAATTTGTTTCAATTATCATTTTAGGTAAATCTGTATTTAATCATGTCAATGTATTTCAGGTTAAAAACTGTTCTTGATCATTCCAATGTATTTCTGGACAAACTGTCAGCGTGGTCATGTTATATCTGAATTTTGAAATGCAGATATATCTGAATTTGGAGAGCAATTTTAGAATGCGAGTCTATATATTTTATATTCCCCCTCGTTTTGGAATTGTGATAGCCCTTTTGTTTTTCTCTAAAAATAATCTTGCTCGAATTGTGTAGGAAGATATTTTTAACAAAATCACCTTGAACGACAAAACTTTTTATCCAACTATTTCATATAGTTGCACACCCATAAATCAAAATTTAGATCACTAATTAAACCGAAATAACTTAATATCACGCTTTCAAGTAGTGTTGAACTTAACATTAACTCTGAAGAAAGAGGGTGCTTGAAATGTAAGGATAGAGTGAAACATAAATTACATTAAGGGAAAGGTTAATTATTTAAAAGGTTTAAATATGTTTTTAATCACTCAAATTTGGGATAAATTTGCTTTGATCTTTCAAATTTAAAATTGTAGTTTTTAATTCTTGTAATTTTCAAAAGTCTTATGTTAGTCTCTTATGTCATCAATAATATATTTAAAAGTGAGCGATTGAGATAATTATGTATTATGAATCAAATTTAATATGATATTTTCATCAATAGAGACACTAATAAGTAGATTTTATACAATAGTCTTTTATAGATTTTTTTAGTATAAAGAATAAAGTAAGATTTTTTTTTTGAAATTATAGGGATAAAAAATCAATTTTATGTTTAAGAGATTAAAAATAAATTTATCTTAAATTTAAATAATTAGACATATTTAAGCCTATTTAAAATGATGCCTAAATACACTTTTGATCTTCTACCATTGTTATTCCTTGAATTTGATTGATTTATTTGTTTTTACAAATTTGAACTCTACTATTTTAGTTGTGTTTTTGTGTATTGGTTAACTTATATTTAATATTTAACAAAAATATTGTAACATCAATATATCACGTTTACATCACATGTTATCACATCATGTCAATATCATTATTAATATTGAATAACTTTAATACATGAACCAAAATTAAACAAATAGTAGAAGGTAAAATTTGTAAAGATAAAAACATAAAGGAATCAAATTTGCAAATTGGCAATAACAAGAGGATTAAAATATGCAATTGACCCTAAAATATATTTATAATCATATCCAATTTAAGTAAAATTTTCTTTCATTATATATATATATATATATATATGAGGAGATATTCGTTTATTCTAGAAGTAAGTCTACTTAAATTTACTCTGTTTAATAACTTATATTCTATATCAAATTTTAACTATCGAATCGTTAAATTAAAAATTATTAGTGCATATATCAAGTTTGCAAATTTTTTTTAAAATTAAAAATTATTTAATATTTCATTTCACTAATTCAAATTAACAAATAATTATAAAAATATTTTATACAATGTATAATTAGTGTTATTTTCCAATTAAAATTTTACCTTAATTAGAAAACAATAATTCACCTTACAAACTATATCTAAGTTATCCAAATCAATAACTTAAAATCAAGTCTTTTGTCTTGTCATGTCATTCTTATGATTATAAGATTTATCTTGAGATATCAAAGTATTGCTCTCCTAATTTTTGTTAGCATTTTTTTTTGTCTAGGAACATGTTTTACAGAGTGTTTTAAAACTAACCATCGATGATTAATTTATACTTACTATAAAGGTCTAGGCACTTTGTGCCTCTAATAATTACATACAAATAAATATTAGAAGTTAATATAAGGAATTTTTTTAACATTCAACCATACAGGTCTACTAAAAAGTGAAGACCAAAATAGTGATTATTAAAAATATTCTTTATAATAAACTAGCAAGAAAAAGATACTATGTGCCTGCATTATATTAAAAAATAATTATTTTTATAAATAATTATAGTAGTTTTAGAATAAAAAAAAAGAAAAAAAAGAAAGAAATTACTCATAGAAAAAGATAGTCTTAGAGAGTTATGAAAATAAACAAAAAATAAAATGATTCATGTAAAAATGGAAATTAAAAGTAATTATTGAAAATGATAACTCTTTTATATATTATTATAGATAATAAATATAGATAAGATGTGATTTTTGTTAATTAAATATTATTTTAATTTAAAAAATAAAAGTGTGAAATATTTATATTGTGATATTTATTAATTAAACTAATTTATGAATGTTTGATCTGTACTTTCTTAATTGAGGCATGAAACACAGCACAGTATGGCCGTCACTGTTTCAAATTCCAAGTCATTGTCCTTTTCATCATCCTATGGATCAACAACACCAAATCCAATTACCTTCTTTTCTTAATGGCATTCGAGTTTTGGTCTCCAACCCAAAACTCGTCATCATCGTCATCATGCTCCTCAATTAACCAGATCCATCCATCTCTGAAACCCTAAAATCTCTCCCGAAATGCCATGCCCCCCAAAGACATGGTCTTTGCCAGAATCGCATCATTCCCCAACAGCCTCCGCATCTCCTCCTCCCTCCAGGATCTCTCCTCCTACCGCCACCTCGCCACCGCCGCCGCCGCACCCCAACCCAACACAACCTCCTCACGCAAAAAATGCCTCAGATTCTCACTCTACCTCGCTTCCTTACTCTTCCTAACCTACCTCTTCTTCCTCCTCTATTCCTACTGGAACCACGGTTCCGGCAACTACTACGTTGTCCTGGATTGCGGCAGCACCAGCACGCGCGTCCACGTCTACCACGCCTCCGTTCGCTTCACGCGCCATAGCAGTCTCCCATTACAAGTCGCCTCTCTCAGGAACACCTTGCGCAAGAAGCCTAGTGGCCGCGCCTACGATCGCATGGAAACCGAACCTGGTCTCGACAAATTGGTTCACAATGTCTCCGGTTTGAGAACCGCTTTGAAACCGTTGCTTCGGTGGGCCAAAAAGCAGATACCACTGCACTCTCACAAGTCCACTTCGTTGTTCCTTTATGCCACTGCTGGCGTGAGGAGGCTTCCCTTTGGGGACTCTCAGTGGCTGCTTGAGAATGCTTGGAATGTGCTAAAGGACTCTCCTTTTGTGTGTCAGAGGGATTGGGTTAAGATCATCTCTGGCCCTGAGGAGGCTTATTTTGGCTGGATTGCTCTTAATTATGATAGTGGCATTTTGGGGGTTAGGCCTAGGAAGGCTACTTATGGTGCCCTTGACTTGGGGGGTTCCTCGTTGCAGGTCACGTTTGAGAGTGATCAGCAGATGAATAGTGAGACTAGTTTGTATGTTAGGATTGGGTCTGTGAGCCATCACCTCACTGCGTATTCGCTCGCGGGGTATGGACTCAATGAGGCGTTTGGTAAGTCTGTGGTGTATCTCTTTAGGAAGGAGTTTGGATTGGTTGGTGTAGATGTAGGTAGTAGGAAGGTAGAGTTGAAGCATCCTTGCTTGCAGGATGGGTATAGGGAGGAGTACTTTTGTTCTCGTTGTTCGGGTAATGCCAAAGGTGGGAATGGGAAAGAGCTGGGTAGGATTTGGATTGGTTGGTGTAGATGTAGGTAGTAGGAAGGTAGAGTTGAAGCATCCTTGCTTGCAGGATGGGTATAGGGAGGAGTACTTTTGTTCTCGTTGTTCGGGTAATGCCAAAGGTGGGAATGGGAAAGAGTTGGGTAGGAATGGAGGGTTGGGAACTTCATTAGTGCTTCTTGGTGCTCCTAATTGGGAGGAATGTAGTGCGCTTGCGAAGGTTGCTGTGAATTTCTCTGAATGGTCTGATCTTGGTGGTGTGGGGCTTGATTGTGGTGCGCAGCCTTGCGCTCTGCGTGAAAATCTGCCTCGCCCGTATGGGCATTTTTATGTGATTTCTGGATTTTATGTGGTGTATAGGTTTTTCAACTTGACTTCTGAGGCTATGCTTGATGATGTGTTGGCAAAGGGTAAGGAGTTTTGTGGAAAGAGATGGGATGTTGCGAAGAAAAGTGTTGCTCCGCAACCCTTTATTGAGCAGTACTGCTTCAGGGCACCCTACATTGCCTCTTTGCTGAGGGAGGGTTTGCACATTAATGATAACCAAATAACTGTTGGGTCTGGAAATATCACTTGGACACTTGGGGTTGCCCTTTTGGAAGCTGGAAAGGCATTTTCCACTAGATTTGGGTTTCGTGACTTGGAGTTTTTCCAGATGAAGATAAATCCCCTTGTTCTTGTGCCCATTTTGTTGCTTTCTTTTATACTCCTTCTTTGTGCTTTATCATGTATTGGCAATTGGATGCCAAGGTTTTTCCGGAGGCCATTTCTTCCCATTTCCAGGCATAACAGTGTTTCTGGTGCTTCTGTCCTTAATATACCATCTCCTTTTCGGTTCCAGCGATGGAGTCCAATTAACTCTGGTAAGCTATTTGCACAAATGATGATTTCTAGTAACCCAAAAACTTATTTGATGAACTGTTTTGTTCAAAACTTTGCTAAGATGCTTAAGAATTGTTCATTTGTTCTTGTCCTTTTATTTGAGTTCAATTTCTATTCACTGTTAGTGTAATTTACATTGTCAATCAATTAGAAATTATTGATGGTACGACTCTTAAGGTGATTATTTTTTAAGTTAACAAGCTTACCCTGCAATGTTATTTTTGATTGGATAACAGTGTGAAAAAACTCTTTACACTATCAGGGCATATATTCTTTATTTTTTACTATTAAATATGGTATAACGACCAACATCCTTTTGTATATCTTGGATCCTACTCTGGCTTATTTTTGTCATGTCTCATCAATTTTGAAAGCTTGCAATCATAAACAATGTGTATGTACTCAATTTTCCATTATTATGTGGATGATTTGTGCCTGTGTATTTTGTAAATCATAACTGTGTTGCTCCTTAAAATGGCTTGTGGATTCCGTATAATTTATGTGAAATTCCTTTTAGAATTGACCTTTAAATCCAATTTACACCTATGGTACCACAGGGGATGGAAGATTAAAGATGCCACTCAGCCCAACAGTTGCAGGTTCACAACATAGCCCGTTTGGTCTAGGGCATGGGCTTGATGACAACAGTGGTGGCATCCAGCTTATGGAGTCTTCATTGTACCCATCAACTAGTAATGTCTCACATAGTTATTCCTCAAACAGTTTAGGACAAATGCGTCTACAGAGTAGGAGATCACAGTCTCGAGAAGACCTGAATTCCTCATTGGCTGAAGCTCATCTGGTGAAGGTTTAGGGCATCATCTTCTCAAAACATTGGTATGATTTCATTAATATCTTTTAAAATTACGCCCCTCTAATAGACCAATCTTTTCTCTATTTTTTGCTTTATCAAAGTTTCCATGGGAATTCTTTTTGTTACATCTGTAGCTAAGTAATAGTAAAGCAAATTGATCTTTTGTTGAATGTTCTTTTTGTATTCAATTAACTTATTAGAAAATCCTTTCATATTAAAGATTTCCACACATTTTCCCGGAGTTTGTAAACTTTAGACTGCCTTGTACATAGCAACGATTATCACGGTTGGTTAGGAGTTGTAGGCCAATAAAATTGGAGTGCCCAAGTTGAATTTTTTCTGGGCAATGAGTCTCAACATCTTGTCATTGTACTGTCATCAGTAAAGATGCTTCTTGATAAAGGGATATCTCAAACTATAAATTGTAAAAGATTTGTCTGTCCTTGCATTTCAGAGGTTTTTGTCATGGAGATGATTGTAGCTAAAGGTGCAGCCAGATCAATTGATAATTTGCATCTCCACAAGATCACTTCTAAACTGGATTCCTCCGCGAGTTGCATAACATAAATGAGCACTCTTATTCTAGGTATCGGCTCATCTATACAAACTCTACGTGGTGGCTTCTTGATGTCTCCATGTTCTGCCTCAGCGGTTTAGGTTTTTTGGTGCCCCTATGCCTTCTGAAGTTAAGTCAAGCATCAGAGACTAACAAGCACAAGAAAGGATATGTTTCCTGATATTGCCATGATCAATTAATTTTGCGACTGTTTCTATACCATTCTTTAGACTCATTAACTATCATTACTACAGAGAATGTCTTTTTGTTTCATAGGTGAGTGATGACTTAGAATATCAATCGGAAAAGATGAACGTCACACAGAAGTTGTAATATAAAACAATCTTCTCTTATACTTCAAATAAGCTACTGAATTGACTTCACATTTTGCAGGCTTCTGAAAAATTGACTTCACAAAAAATAAAGGCTCATGCTATTTTCTAGGTGTTTAAACAAGTCGAACCAAACTGAAGGCCGAAGCTCAAGCTTTGCGTGCGTAAAAAATATTATTTTCAAGTTTAGTTCATTTATATAACCCTTAATTGTAGGTTTGGTTTAGATTTTGCAATAGTTTAGTTTTAGTTCTTTTGATAGATTTTTGGATTCGTCCCTACTTAGAATGGACTCTGTCATTGAACGATAAGACTTGGTTTTAAATTTTAATTGACAAATAGGTACGATAAGTTGTCGTGTCTTCAATTTATATATATATGCTGCATTATTTTGAAAAATGAAAGAAAAACATCTTCGTAGTCTTACAATTAACAAAGATCGTGCCCAATCCATGGTGGTATACTTCCCAGTTCCCGCGATCAAGTAACGACGCGGTTAGATGGCTCAACATTGGAGAATTTCATTTATAGGTTATTTGGATGAAGAGTTTAAACAAAGTAATTATTTTATTTTTTTAGTTTTAAAAAATTTAAGGTGAAATGTTTTATTTGGATGAAAAATTCATATACTTGGTGGTTTTTGAGAGGTGACATTAGAATATAAAGAACTTTTCAAATAAATAACTTGAGAAAATATAAATAAATAATGTTGCTAAATGTTATATTTTTTAATTACTAGTCAATACATAATTGAATAATAATATAAGAAAATTACATGAAAAATAAAATCGAAAATTAAACTCTAAAATGAAAGATATGTGTGGTGCTTCTTTAGTAATCAGTAAAGATACTTTTTTAGTTTTTTTTATCCACTTTCCTTCTTGCTTCCAATTTCATACCTCTTTCTCCAATTCGAATTATGTAGAACCATAGATTGAATTCAAATTACACCCCATAAACTACCCCCTACCCATCGGTGCAGCAATATCAATAGTGGTAAACATAGAATTCTTTTCAAAGTAACAAATATAATTGACAAAAGCATTACTTTTTTAAAGTAATGAAGACAAAAATATTACTTTCGTGAATCACTCTCCAAGGACTGTTTATAATTGGTCGGAATCACAATTGCATGTTGCTTGAATGAATTTATTTTCCAGTTATATAAAGTATCAGAAATTAAATTGGTTATTGACTTGACCATTATGTCGGTAATCAGAATCAAAGCAGCAGAAGGAACAATATGCATTTCTTCGATTACCAAACTGTATAAAGCTATCTAACAATAGAAACACCACCCATCTAGCAGCCTTCGATTCATTATCCAAATGAAGCATTTTTCTCTCATGTTACCCGCATTATGGTCTATGCATGTCCACCTATTTTTTCTCTTTACATTAAATTCAGTATGGCTTACTCCAAATATGATTGTTTTTGCATCAGGAAATGTGACAGATGCGTTGGCATTGCTTAAATTTAGAGAATCCATATCCATCGACCCATATGGAATCTTGCTCTCTTGGAATACTTCTACTCACTTTTGTAATTGGCATGGAATCACATGTCATCTCATACATCAAAGAGTTACAGAGTTGAACTTGCAAGGATACAAGTTGAAGGGGTCCATATCTCCCCATATAGGTAATCTCTCTTATATGAGAATCTTCAACCTCAACCACAACAACTTCTATGGAAATATCCCACAAGAATTGGGACGCTTGTCACAATTGCAGTTCATCTTTGTGGATATAATTCATTGGAAGGAGAAATTCCTACAAACTTAACAGGTTGTGCTAATCTCAAAAGCTTATATTTATATAGTAACAATTTGATTGGCAAAATGCCAATCGAAATTGGCTTACTTGGAAAGCTTAAAGTATTGAATGTTGGGCACAACAAGTTAGTTGGAGGAATTCCATCATTCTTAGGGAATCTTTCATCCTTACTTATTCTCTCACTGACAAATAATAACTTTGAAGGAGAAGTTCCACATCTATTGTGCCACCTCAAAAGCATGAAAGAAATATATGTGTCTAGTAACAATTTGACTGGTACATTTCCTTCTTGTCTTTATAATATCTCATCTCTTACGATAATTTCGACTTCATTAAATCAATTTCATGGGTCTCTTCCACCCAACATGTTCCACACTCTCTCCAATCTTCGAGAATTATATATTGCTGGCAATCAGGTCTCAGGTACAATCCCACCTTCCATCACAAATACTTCTATCCTTTCAACACTTTTCATCAATGGGAACTATTTTGTAGGACAAGTTCCAAGTTTAGGGAAGCTACAAAATCTTTATATCCTTGCTTTGGATAATAACAATCTAGGTCACAATTCAACCAAAGATTTGGAGTTCTTAAAATCATTGACAAATTGTAGTAAGTTGCAAGTGCTATCTATATCCAACAATTATTTTGGAGGTCATTTGCCCAATTCCATAGGCAATCTATCGACCCAACTTAGTCGGCTATATCTTGGAGGTAATCAAATATCAGGAGAGATCCCTGCATCATTAGGAAATCTAATTGGCTTGACTCTCTTGACGATGGAACTTAATCGAATTGATGGGATTATTCCAACAACTTTTGGAAAGTTTCAGAAAATGCAATTATTAAACTTAAGGGCAAACAAGTTGTCAGGAGCAATAGGAGCATTTATAGGGAACCTCAGTCAATTATTTCATTTGCATTTAGGAGCAAACATGTTAACAGGAAATATTCCACCAAACATAGGAAATTGCCAAAAGTTACAATTCTTTGTGCTTTCAAGAAATAACCTTACAGGAACCATACCACTGGAAGTTTTTAATCTTTCATCTTTAACAAACTTGTTGGACTTGTCACAAAACTCACTGAGTGGTAATATACCAGAAAAAGTGAGCAACCTAAAAAATATTGGTTTTCTTGATGTGTCTGAGAATCATCTGTCAGGTCACATTCCTGGAACTATTGGAGAATGCATAATGTTGGAGTACCTTTATATGCGAGGGAATCTTTTACAAGGAATCATACCATCTTCTTTTGCATCACTCAAAGGTCTTCGACATTTAGACCTATCACGAAACCGCTTGTCTGGATCAATTCCAAATTTTCTACAGAACATTTCTTTCTTGGAATATTTCAATGTGTCTTTTAATATGTTGGATGGTGAGATACCAACTGAAGGTTTCTTTAGAAATGCAATCGAGTCAGTGGTGGCAGGAAATAATAAGCTTTGTGGAGGTATTGCAGAACTACATCGACCGCATTGCTCTGTCAAAGGTAAGAAGCTTGCAAAACTCCACAAGTTTAGGTCGATAGAAGTAATAGTCAGTGCGGTAGCTTTTCTTTTCATCCTGTCAATTATTTTAACTATTTACTGGATGAGGAAAAGAAGTAAGAAACCTTATTTGGTTTCACCAATAATTGACCAACTAGCTAAAGTTTCATACCAACGCCTATACAATGGAACCAACGGGTTCTCAACTACAAGTTTGATAGGGTCTGGAAATTTTAGCTCTGTCTACAAAGGAACTCTTGAGTTAGTAGACGAAGTTGTTGCCATAAAGGTTCTAAACCTTCAAAAGAAAGGAGCTCACAAGAGTTTCATTGTTGAATGCAATGCACTTCAGAATATTAAACATCGAAATTTGGTTCAAATTTTAACATGTTGTTCCAGTATATATTACAAAGGTCAAGAATTTAAAGCTCTAATTTTTGAGTACATGGAAAATGGAAGTTTGGAACAATGGTTGTATCCTAAGACACTAAGTACAGAGCATCCTCGAACATTGAACCTTGATCAAAGATTAAATATCATGATTGATGTTGCTTCTGCATTGCATTATCTTCATCATGAATGTGACCAACCAATCATTCATTGTGATTTAAAGCCAAGCAACGTCCTGCTTGATGATGACATGATTGCTCATGTGAGTGATTTTGGCATAACAAGACTTCTCTCAACCATCAATGGTACCACTTCTAACCAAACAAGTACAATTGGAATAAAGGGGACTGTTGGCTATACGGCTCCGGGTATGTTCTAAACTCTTGAATTTATTTCTTTTAATTCCCTTATTTATATGAAAACCTGATATTTACTAATGTCAAAGTATTGAAAACTTTTTCTTTATCTTTTAGAGACATGTATAGCTTTGGGATTTTTGTGTTGGAAATGCTTACTGGAAGAAGGCCCACTGATGAAATCTTTGAAAATGGTCAAAACTTGCATAACTTTGCAAAAAATTCATTTCCTGATAATCTTGTACAAATTTTGGACCCGTCACTTGTACCAAAACAAAGACAAGAGACAGTAGTAGAAGAAAACAATCAGAATGTTACTCCAACCATTGAAAAGTGCTTAGTTTCACTCTTTAAGATTGGACTTGATTGTTCAGTGGAATCACCAAAAGAAAGAATGAATATGGTGGATGTCACTAAAGAGCTGAGTAAAATTAGAAGAGTCTTTCTTGGTAGTAAGATAAATTGAAAATGACTTAATTCTTCAAATATTATTAGAGAATATGTGCAAATGTGTCACATTGTTGTTTTTTCAAAAGTTAATATCTACTTTGTTACAATAATATGATCTCACATTGTATTATTAATTGAATGTCCCTTGCTTCGACTCTTACTTGATTATGTAGTTACAATTCATTTTCTACCATTTTGTTATATATCTTAAAGCGTCAAAAGATCAACAAAGATTATGAAAGTAAAACTCTAAAAACACTTGAAAATTATATACAATTTATATTCTAAAATTAGAGTCATCACTATTCAAACACACAACATTAATGAGTCTCAATTAAATTAAAATAATAAATGTAAAAGAGTTTGACATTGAAAGTTTAAAAATTAATAATATCATTATTATTATTCTCATAATTATCATTATCATTATTATCACCAATTTTATTGTTATCAAAGTTATTACTACTATTGTAACTATTATAATTCATACCACCTTATTACTACTACCAGATTCTTATTAATATAGAATAAAGATAATATACGTTTTGTAATATGTACTGAAAATTGAATTAAATTAAAATAGAATGTATGATACTCTTATTTTATCATATTTTTATTCTATGATCTTATATATTATTCTAATTTATCTATATGAAGATACATTAGTAATTATAATGCTTAAATCGATTTCATTTGTCTTCATCTAGATACCCATAGTTTCTAGTATCTTGTCTGTTGGATAGTAATTGGGCATGGGAGACAAGGATTTTACCTATAAAAAACATTTCAATGTCTAAGTTAGTTCTTGATTTTAGATAAGTCAACGGTAATTAATTCTATAATAAATATGAAAAGGTATTACTTTCTCTCTCCACTATTAATATTTATACTAACTTACTGGGCTTGGGCCCATGTAATAGGCCCATTAAGGTTTGTGGGGTTCGTAGGTAGTTTGTACTACCTTGTTGACTGTAGGAACATGTTTAGGAGTCTTCGGCTTGGTTGGTTTGTCATGTCCTCCGGTATATTTTCTATGTTGAATGAGCCCATAGTAGACACGACATGAAAAATCAGTTTTGTTATTTTGTTAGTTGCAAAACTTTCACGCTATCTGAATGCATGCATGGTTTAGCTCTATAGCATATCATGTTATTTAATCAATATAATGGAAGTTCCTTGGAACTCTTTCCTCCATTTTTATCTCTATCACATGTTTTCATATCTGCTGTGATTCTGTGAACTCTACACAGACACTACCAACCACTCATGCATAACGCTAAAAGCCAACGAACGACCAAATATAGTTACCGTAATTAAAGAGAGGGAACTTGACTTAACTATTAAGCATTGAGTAATTAATAATAATAAAAACTTTTATTTACTTTAAAAAATATGCTAACAGACGCCTGTTAAAGAATTAAAATAATTTTTTATTGAAAATATAATACTATATCCTCTATTATAATTTTAATGTAAATTTTAATAATTATTTTTAATCTTTAATTCTTTAACTGTTACTCCAAAATTTATTTAAAAAAACTAAAATGATATAATGTTCCGTTATTTCATGCGTGAGAAATAATATTTTTGATTATATAAAAATCTAATAATCATTCGATAATATAACAAATCATTAAAATAAAAGACTATCGAAAACAGAAGTAGTGAATTCATCCATTATTTTTTTCATTTATTGATTCATGATCATGAGTTGATGACGAATGAGCTAACTGATGATCAAGTTGTATACTTATTATTCTGTACTTGTTGATTTGTATAGTTGCATGGACGTATATGACAATAAACATACTAATAATAGAGTTGTACATTACACGTGTATTCTATTACTGTATATAGCAATAATGGATAGCATGGTAGACAAGCCCCACACATGAACAAGAATCACGACAACGACAGTGACACCTTCCTCAGCTCACTTTCCTTCACAAACAGCCCATGAAAACCGTAAGGAACCCGCCGCGGAAGCCTCACCGCCGCCACCACCTCCAGCTCCGGCGACTTGGCATCCATCACAACAAACTTGGACTCTCCGCTCCTCTCATCGTGGACGTAGCTGACCAAGTATCCGTCGTCCTCCTCCACCGCTTCCTCCCTGGCCACAAAGAAGGGCTCTCCGCCGTAGCAACCGTCGCCGTACATCCTGCAGCCGACCACAGAATCCTCCCCCTTGGACGACACGTCCAGCTTCACCACCCCCGAAATCTTGGGCATTGGGTCCCCCACCGCCGCGTAAACGAACCGGTTCTTCTTTCCCACGTAGGCGGGGTTTATCACCGCGAAGTCCAGGTTCCTCGCCGACAGAGGTTGCCGCGTCACGATCCCCGTCTCCAGATTGATCCGCACCTTCTCCACCACCGCGTGAACCAGCTCCATTCTCTCCATGGCGTGTTCCAGCGAAAGAATATTCGGCGCCACCAGAACCACCGTTCTTCCATCGTCCTCGTCCCACGCGTTGATCGCGTGCATGATGTTAAACCCCGGCACCTCCAACCACTTTATCATTGATTCATCCTTAGCATCACTGCAACCATTATCATAACGTTAAATTGTTAAAAAAAAAAAATAAAAAAAGTAGTATTTTGATAGTGAGTTAATTTACCGAGGAAGGATTCCGATCCTGGGGACCTTGGAAGGCACGGATCCCAAGGGGGAGCCACCGTAAAGAAGCATGTCAATAGGGTTCATTCCGAGCTGGATGTCGCAGAAAATGGCGTAGTTCTTGGTGATGGCGAAGTCGTGGAGGAACGAAGGTGAAAGAACGGAGAAAATAGGGACGTCGGGGTGTTTTCTTCCGTTAGGGTCGAAGCGGAAGTAGGTGAGAAACGGTGGCACGGGGCCGTAACGGAAGGCGAAGCATTCCCCTGTGTCGGGGTCTATCTTAGGGTGCGCCGTCATGCTAAACGCCAATTTCCCCTCGAAGTCGTAACGGCCAACTGTTTCAACGTCGCCGTTAGCGGTTATGTTAACGGCGTAAGGGAGATCGGACTCTCCCAGCGCGAAGAGACGGTTGGCGAAGAAGGCCAGGCTGGTGTTGGCCAAGCCAATGCCGTTGGCTGGGTTGTACTGTCCGGCGAGGACTCGCGCCGCCGTGAGAGAGCCGCGCGCGGCGGAGGCAGCGAGGGAGTTGAAGCCGGAGAAAACATTGGGGAAGAGAGGAAATCCGGCGTCGTTTTCGACTTTGTACTTATAGGTTTTGACGTAGCGGCTGCAGAGAGTGGGTTTGCCTTGGGAAATGCGAAGGGCGTGGAGCATGCCGTCGCCGTCGAAGAGGTGGTAGGGTCCGCGGGGGAGGAATTGGGGGTTGGGGCCGTTTCTGATGTAGGCGCCGTCGAGGCACGGCGGGAGGGAGCCTTGGACGACCTCGCACGGCGTCGGAGGGAGTTCGTGGACGGGGGCGAAGTTCTGCGTTAGGACGCGTCTTGGATCGACGGAGGGTTTGAGGGGAGGGTCTATGAAGTTGTTGATTATGTCGTCGAATGCGTTTAGCATCAGCGCCGGCACCCATGGCTCGCTTTTTCTTTTTGCCTCAACGCGTGTCGTTTTGATGGTCGGAGCGGGTGCGGGTGGAGGAGTGCTTCTTATGCTTTGACTTTGGGTTTGGGGTTTTTCTTCGGTTCTAACGGTTGTTGCATTGAGGAGAGGGAGTGGGGGAGAGGTGGAAGAGGTTGGTTGGCTTGTCACTATGATGGGCTTTGGGACCATTGTTCTTGTGTTTAGTGAAACTGATGACTGAAGAGGTTGGTTTGGTTGTTCAATCCTACTTATCCTCTGCTGGATTTGTCCATTATGGAAACACTCATTATTTCAAACATTTCTAATTATTGAAAAAATAAAAAAAAATAAAAAAACTTCAATTATATCTGCTTCAAAATGGATAAATATATTGCACTTGCTTCTTCTCCCACCCTCTTTATCTTTTTCTCCCCATTTTTCTGTGCTTCTAATTATATTCTTGTGTTTGAACTTTGAAGCAGGGGGGTGGGGTCCAGTTTGCAAAAATAATTGTGTGCTTCGAATTCTATTGCTTGTATTGGTCTATGGGAGAGGCCCATCTCATAATATTGTACTTGTTGTAATGAAAAAATGGAGAGAAAGAAAGAGACAGGGAGGATAATATACAATATATAAAAATAAAATAAAATACAAGTTTCTTGTATAAATATAATAATTTATTAAAATATATAAGTACGATATATCTCAAATATATAATAATTACTTGCATGAAATTAATACGCTTATTATTATCTTTTCTGATTGAATATTTTACACGCTAGGTATTCTATTAATTAAAAAGTTAACATTATGCATAATTATGTATTTTACTTTTTTATACATGCATCTTAAAATATACTTTGATATCTAGAGAATAATTTTGTGGTGTTCAATTTTTATGTTTTGCGTGCGTGTAAAGACATTCTCTAGATATCCGAGTATATTGGGACAGATAACACTAATATAAGATAACAAAACAAGGTGAAATTAATTAAATTATAATCCAATCAGAAAATGAGCAGCCAAACAAAATATGATAAAATAAAATAAAGCTGATCCTCTGGGACCTCTAACCTAAACTATCCCATTAACTTTTTTAACTTTTCATTATATTCTTTTGGGGCAAGAGAGACATCTACGTTTTTGTTAGGTTGCTATCTTGATACGACACTAATGTCTCTTTGTAGTTAGTCTTGGAGCAATGTTAATTAGGCCATAAGTTCATTAATATTCTCTTTAAGATACTTCCCTCCTGCTAAATGAAATTTTTGTGAGTTCTTTTAAATAATGACTGAAATTTTTATTAAATAAAAGTGTGACTTAATTGAATCATCTAGAGAGACCATTCAATATTAATTTTACCTAATTTAAAGTGTGTTAATGCATATTATTAATTAATATTTTTCTTAGTCTTAATTAAATCTATGAAAGCTCGATCATGTGTCCGCTTGAGCTGAGGTACAATGTTTAGTTGAGAATAGTTGTGACATACAATTGAATAATACAATTTAAATTACATTAATTTGGGATGGGTCTATCTAGTAAGTAATAACAGTGTCTAATGACAATGAATCTAACAAATATTAAAAATATGGTCAAGATGTACTATGTCTGTGTCGATTGTCCACAGGTACAAATTAAAAATTAGACATGGACGATATTTACAAAATAGCTACACAAAGGTGCAGGAACACAGAAACCCACCAAGTTCAGTTTCTGTCGCGTTAGATCTAATCCATTTGAAAATTTATCCATTTTATTAAAATTATAAGATAATATTATAGATTTTGGACGATCACAAAGACAAAAAAAAAAAAAAAAAAAAAAAAAAAAAAAAGGAAAATCAATAAATCTAAAATAATAAAAAATATCAATCTGGATTGAGACGAGTTGGAAAATATAATCTAATTTATGTTGAAAAATGAAAATAAATTTGTGAATATGAAGCTTATAGTTGAAGAAGGATATTTGTGATTGGAATCCGTAATAAATGCGCTTTGGGTCCACCTTTCTTTCAGTTTCAGCCACCGAAAAGCATCACTTAAATTTGCACCATATTAGGTGGAGACTGACCACAATTATTTTCCTTCTTTTTATCTCTCTCAACTCAAGCAGATACCACTCACGTCAAACAATCAAACCTGGATATTTTATCTGCAGATTTCAGCCTAAAATAAGAGTCCAATTGAATTCTCAATCGCTTGTTTTACACAATAAGACAAATTGAATTATGATTTGGAGTTTCATTTATTGTTAATGCAAACCATTTTTCCATCATTTAATTGCATTATTAATAATAATTAATGCATCATTTAAGATTTGAACGCATAAATCAATCAGCACGGGTTATTTCACTAAACAGTGACACGAGGACGAAATGATTAAAAAGCTGAGGTGACCCTTAGAAGTAACGTATAAGAAAAAGTGATTAAATGTTATCCAAAATCATCCAATGTAAAAGAAGAAAACAAAGCAGAACTAATCAATAAGATTAACCTAGTAGTAGTAAGAATTAAAATAGATGTATGGAGAGTTAAGATCCATTTTTGGGGTGGTTTAATTTTTGTATTAAAAAAATATCCATTAACTTAATAAGGGTGCCTTGTGAACAGTACAAGCATGGAGAATAAAATGAAGGCATTGATAGGCAAAGGAGATAGAAGATGTCTGTCTCCTATTTGAGGGGCACTCACTTTCAAATTTGAGGCCATTTGGTGTCTGAAGCAGAAAGCGATTGGGTCACAATTTCTTCAAAGATATGTTATTGGTGGATTACGATGCAAGACACTATATGATGTGGTCCTAATTGATTGGTATTAACTTGTCGAACCAAACTGAATTTGTGATATGAGATATTTCAACATGTCGAGTTCAATGGTGGAGCCAGTTATGCTTCTGCTAACAAACTAACTAAGCCAATAATATATCAGCAATTCAATATAATCTATTACAATTTACAAATATCTTTTCGACAAACAACTTTTACTTTGTGTTTGGGGCAAATTTTTATAATTTTACCAAATTTGAAATGTTTCAAACTTAAATTTATTTTTTATTATTTAATAACTTCATTTAAATAAGTCGATTCAAATTTTTAGTTTGGAAAAGAGTCAATTATTTTTTACCATGTTCAAAATTTATTTTAAAATTAAAATTTTAATATTAAGCTTTACATAAATAAACATAAGTCAAGGGTTAAGTGTTTAAGTAATATTTTATCTTGCGCAATGTATAAGGAAAATTTTATGTAATAAACTAAAATTTATAATAAATAAATACTTTTGAATGTATACATTATATTATAATTGAAAATTCTAATAAATAAACCCTTTTTATAAATTATGTTTTAGATTTGTAATAAATAATTTATATTATTATAGAGTTTTTTTATTATTGATATTTTATTAAAATATTGAAATTTAATTTAAAAATAAAATAAATATCATTGTTTAAAAGAGATAAAAAGTTAATAAAATTTTCTAAAAAAACACATTCTTTGAAAAAAATAATTAAAACTACTCTCATCAAAGAATGTTTTGAGTGATTATAAATCTTTTTTTTTATACCAAATTTCTAATTTTTTTATGTTTTTTAACAAGTAATTTTGTGGTTCATTTGAATCGATTAGGTGATCAATTTCCATATCTGACCAACCAGTCTAGTTTTCAAAACATAGTAAATCACACATTACCTTTTTAATTTTTTTTCTTTCATAATTTTAGTAGCAAGATAATGTGTGATTCAATTAAAGCTATATATCAACGGAGTTAAGAGCTTTGCCTAACATATAATTTTTTATCTATTTATCTAATATTTATACTTTATGAAAGAGAGGAGAAAAAGACTCAAATATCAATAAAAGTAACAAATATGAAGATGCAAGACATAAAAAAAGTGAAAATGGAACCAAAGCATAAAAGTAATGGATGAAGAAACTCAGACAAAAGCAACAAGTGCAAGGACCTAAAACATAAAAACAATGTGTATAGGGACATAAAACATAAAAATAGTGAGCATAAAAAACCAAAACATAGAAAGTAGTTAGTGTGGTTACCAAATAAATAAATCAACGGGTACAAGGATCCAAGACATGTAAAAAATAATAGGTGTGAAAATCCAAAATATAAAAATAGTTAGCATGGAGACCTAAGAAAAAAAAGTCATAGGTAATAGGGATCCAAAACATAAAAATTGATGAGTGCAAAGATGCAAAACATAAAAGCAACAAATGTGTGACCCAATAAATAAAAGTAATATGTCTAAGGACCTAAGACATTAAAGCAATGGGTATGATACCCCAAAATATTAAAGTAGTTAGCATGAAGACCAAAAGTATAAAGTAGTAGGCACAAGGGCCCAGGAAAAGAAAAGGCACAAATCCTCATGACATAAAAGTAGTGTACAATGAAGAAACCTAAAGTATAAAAGTAGAATGTATAATAGTAACATAAAAAAAGGTGGGAGAGGCAAAGACCTAAAACATAAAAACAATGTGTTTAGGGACCCAAGACATAAAAATTAAAGGTGTGAAGATCTAGAACATAAAAGCAGTTAGCATGGAGACCTAAGACAAAAAAATATAGGTCATAGGGATTCAAAACATAAAATCAATGAGTGCAAAGACCTAAAACATAAAAGAAGCAAAAGTGTGACCCCAATAAATAAAAGTAATTTGCCCAAAGACCTAAAACTTTAAAGCAATGAGTACCATGCTCCAAAATATTAAAGTGGTTGCACAGGATCCAAAACATAAAGCAATGGGCACAAAGGCCTAATATATAAAAGTAATGTATAACAAAGAACCTAAAACATAAAAGTAACAAGTGTAGGGGCCCAATAAATAAAATTAATGGAGGTGAGGACCTAAAACATAAAAACAATGTGCATAGGGATCTAAAACATAAAAATAGTGGACATGAAATCCAAAAACATAAAAAGTTGTTAGTGTGGTTACCAAATAAATAAATCAATAGGTACAAGGATCCAAGACATAAAAATAATAGGTGCGAGGATTCAAAACATAAAAATAATTAGAGTAGAAACCTAAAACAAAAAAAAAATAAGTCATAGGAATTCAAAACATAAAAATTAACGAGCACAAAAACCCAAAACATAAAAGGCAAACAAATGTGTGACCCAATAAATAAAAGTAATTTGTTCAAGGACCTCGGACATTAAAGTAGTAGATATGATGACTCAAAATATTAAAGTAATCGACATAGTGACCAAAAACATAAAGTATTAGGCATAAGGGTCCAAGAAAAAAAAATGCACAAAAGTTCGAAGATATAAAAGCAGTGTATAACGAAGGAACCTAAAGCAT